GAAGGGGCCAGGTTAGTGAGGGTTTTTATTTTTATGCTTCTCATTTTTGTGTGGTCCCCAACTGATTTTTCTGTGGGTCAGCGGCCCCAACCCAAAAAAGGCGCCTCACCCCTGGTTTACAGGACAGACTTTGGACAGGAGGTTGCTGCTACCTAGGGAAAATCATTAGCCACCAGACCCTTTCTCTGGCTGTTGGACTGGTTCTTCCTGGATGCAGCTTTGGGTGTAGAGCATTGGAAAACAGGGCTTCTTCCAGGAGAGTTATTCCTCTCCTCACAAGGAATAAGCCCTCTTGCACAAGAGCTCTTCCACAAGAAGGCAGTGTAGACAGGCAACATGAATTTCTTGCGCAAGAAAGCCCTTTGGCTAAAATGGCCATCAGAGCTTTCTTGCGCAAGAGAGGATCCACACTGCCATGGACACTCTTGCGCAAAAGCACCTCTCGTGTGCAAAAGTACATGGCACTGTGGATGCACTCTTGTAGAAGACCTTTTGCCCAAGAACTCTTGTGCAAAACAGTTCTTGTGCAAGAAGCCTGCAGTGTAGACATAGCCCAGGTGTTTCAGATGTGTAACAGTTTGGGCCTTTTAGAAGAAACAGTCACATAGCTTCACCTTACTGGAATCAACAAAACCAAGGTGGGTTTTTTTATAAAACTCCTGGGACAATGTTTAAATAATTTCTGTACTTTGAAACAATGGTGAAAGTAAATCAGTGTGACCCATAAGAGACTGGCTAGCTTGGGCAGAGCTCTGGATGCCACTGGTGTAGTGATAAAAATGGCTTGTGTCACTACACTCTGGGTGGCCTGGCCACAGTGCACCCAGGCTCCAGCTTTTAGGATCCAGTGGCTGTGCAGCATGGTCCCCACCATCTTTGCCAGCCCCAGGGATCCAGTGGCTGGACACCATGGTCCACACTTCCCAGACCAGCCCCGGGGATGGGCAGCTGGGCCAATCATGGGGAATCCGGTGCCTGGGCAAGGTAGTTATGGCACCGCAGCCTGACCCAGGAATCTGGCAGCTGTTAGTACAATGGTCACACTCCCAGCACTAAGCTCCACCCAGACACATTCACTCCAACCATTCCCCTAAGCCCCCTTCACAACTTCCAACCCCCTGTCCTGACTCCAGAATCCCTCAAAACCCAACCCCTTGCCCTGACTCCTGCACCCTCCCCCCACATCCCCAACCCATATCCTGAGCTCCCCGCATCCACACACACTCTACCACCTGTCTTGAGCCTCCTGCATTCTATCCCATAGGTACATTTTTATAGGTACCTATCACAATCCTCACAACTCTTTGCCCTGAGGATCCCCCTCACAAGAGGGGGTCAGAACACAGAGTACCTATGCAAAACTGAAGTTACTTTCACCCTTGTTTTGAAACTGACATATTAGAAATGGAATACTCAGTTTATTTGACAAAAACATATTTTAAAACTGAAGTATTGTACTAGATTTGATATATTTAAATACATATTATTAATCATCTAAAAAGAACCTATGAGTAAATTAGGAAAATAATTCAGGCCTTGATCCTCCAAAGACTTAATAGCATGCTTAACGCCACCTATCTGAATAATCACTCATGCACTGATGTGCTGGCAGTAGCACACTTTGATAAATTCAAAAGCAATTACAGTTAACACAGCCAAAAACTTCTAAGGGGTACAGTAGATAATTGAATATTACCTTGCCAAGCATACTTAAACAACTTGTTCCAGGCATTGACATGCTCAGGCAAACAGGCCCATAAACATCCTGGTATTTTCATTGCTATACTTGACTGTTCTTATTTTCTTCTGTTCAGATATTTCTACTTAGTCTGGTTTGAGGAGGTTGGGTTGTTTTTAAAACATTGTCAGTGCCCTTGATGCTCAATTCCATGTATCAACTTCAAGCTTCTCCAGATTCCTTAGAGTTACAGTAAATCTCTCACATACTTCTCTCCAAATGTATTAATATTTATACTTTGAATCTCCAAAATGTTATACAAGCACTATAAATTTGGATTTGTTGTACCTATCAGTCATTTCTAGAAATGTGTATTTTTTTAAATATATAAAATACATTTGAAAGGCTCTTCCCCAGCCATAAAAACAAAAACAGGCACTTCACAAGCCCAATTAGCCTCTACAGACTATAAACATACCTGATACATATAAAAATATCCTGGGAAGATTTTCTCAGCTATAAAATACACTCCTTTCCCACTAAGATTTCATAATAATGCCCATTAAAATCAATGAACATACAACTCTTGCAGCGTGTGTGTGGAGAACTGAGAAGTAAAGTGAGTTTCAGAGCCAAAGTTTTTCAAATAGACAGGACTTCCATCTATGAGAGTTAGGTGCCTAAATATTTTTGAGGATCTGGGCCATACATCATTTGGAGTGAAATTCACCTTAAACTTTACTCACAAATCGACTGGTAGCTAGAGCAGGGGTAAGTAGTCTGCATGCTACCCTAAGGTGAGTTGCATATTGTTATCCCTATTTGACTGAAGCATCAAGTAATTTGTCCAAGGCCAGAGAGGGAATCAGTATCAAGGCTGATATTTGAAATCATTTTTTCAGTCAAAGAAACATTACTGCTTTTAATGAAACTATGATTCTAAAGAATATTTGAGGGAAATGAACAAACTGTTAAAGAAAGATATTTGGGAGCCTCTTAGTTTTTTTAAGAGAAATGTGGATCTCAAGAAAGAGGTGCAGGCTGAGGGATGGCAGGAAATTGTGTGTATTATTAATATACTAATACCCACTGGCTGTGCATCTTTATGAAGACATCAGCCTTCAGTATTATGTATTATGCTTCTGGTATATTTTAGTAGGATCATTAATTTCTACTCTTCAATATCTAAATTAGCAGAATGGGGAAGGGTTTCTATATTTTTTCCTTTCTCTCATTTTGCCTTCCTAGCACTCTTCCTGTAGAGTGGAATGCGTACAGCTCACTTCTGTTCTGTGCTTTGAGCACTTACATCAGTTCCTCCCTTTACAGTCTTTGAACTAACTGATCTCTCTCTCTCTCTCTCTCTCTCTCTCACTCACTCAACAGCTGCTCCTGCTTTATCTCTTTGCCATCAGCTAGAAAAACAGGCAAAAATATTTCTCAAGGACCAGTGCAGCTGCAGTTCTAGTCCTGAAACAGTGGATTTGTTAGGTATCTCCCTGGAAAACCAGTGTTTGAATTCAGTGGGGCATCAGATCTCACTTGTCCTTTTATTCTGACCAAGCTCTAAAATTGAAAATAATCAATTTTTGCACAAGATCTGCTTAAGACTAACTTATACCCTGGTACTGATGGCTCAGCTGGTGATTTAATTAATCATCACATGATAGAAAATCATGCGTTAGGAGCTAACATACAATTCTCTCTCAATCTCCCAAAGGAGGTTTAGCATAAACATTATTAGTGACAAATCCTAGGGCGAGGGCTGTTCTGTGAACTCAGCTAAGCTGGAAGTAAGGAAAAAGGAATACAGATTGAAATTGGGAGGAGGGGAATAGCTTCTGCCTACAGCATGAAGGAAAATTGCAGCATGCAATTTCTTGTGGCTTCACTTATTTGAGGATGTCTACACTATAAAATTAGGTCAATTTACTTTTAGCCACTGATTTTACAGAGTTGGAGGTGCATGTCCTGATTAGGCACACAAGGGCAATGGACTGCATCCCCACTACACTGGCTACCTTCAATTCTAATACCAATGCACTGTGGGTAGCCATCCTGCCCATCTGAATTTTGGATTAGGCTCCCAATACCTGATAGGACAAAAACACCATCACAGGTGGTTTTGGGTACAGGTCTGCAGCCCCTCATGATGCACTTATCTCTTCCCTCCCTCCCTGCTTGAAAACAATA